AAATACAGTAGAGCGTCGTTTATCCGAATCAATTGGGGACTGGGGTTGTTCGGATAACTTATTTTTCGGATAACCAATTATGTACGAAAAAATATATTAATTTATCCCGTGTTGAAATTTTTCTCCGTTGCGTGTCGCTTTGCGTTGAATTTTCGTCGATGTTAAGCCTAACGAAGACTATTGTATCGTTAAAAATTATTTTTTTATTTTGTACAAACAAAATAAATATATTGAAAAATATAAAAACAATAAAAAATTATACTTTAGAAGTTAATTTAGTATCAAAAACGTAAAATATTTGAGTTGCCCAAGACATAGCCAAAGATTGCTGCTCCACAGCACTGGCGAAAATTTAAATTTGTCGACTGGAATTCCTTCGGATAAACGACGCTCTACTGTACAAATATTCCAACAACATTATTTTAATTAAATTGTAATATTTATTTTAGACAGAGAAATTTTCTAGAATAGATTTAAGAACGATTCACACAGAATTAAACATTCCTATTCCTGATCCAAAACCAATTAATCATGAATCTGAGCAGGTTTGTTGATGTAATTTATATGACATTTAAATTTTAATTTTCAATAATAATAAAACAAAATATTTTATTTCAGTTACTGGGGAAGAAAAGAAAGTTTTGTTTATTGGAAAACGATATTCAAGGTATGAGAAGAATTTACAACTTTTATGTTATTTATATAATCTTTTAACTTTTATTGTTATTATACTCAAAATGAGATTTATCGCCTAATCATAGAGAAGTGACAAGTATCAAATAGCTTTTACAGAAATGTATTTTTAATGCATTTTTTAGCTTTTAAGATTTCTTGAATTCATATATTAGACTGTTCAACAGTCTTATACAGTAGATCCAAGTTGTCAGGATGTCAACCTGAATCTACTGTATCTGTTTCGTGACAACCTGAAACATTTATTCAGGTTGTCAGGAAATAATCATTTGGCCTTATTATCTGGGAAAAAACTCTTCATAGTCTGGGAAAAAACTCTTCATAGTCTATGGTAGCCTAATGAACAGATATAGTAAGGTTCATACCCACCTGGAAAGTCAGATAAATCAGGGATTTTCATTAGTATTTGACAAAAGTCATGGAAAATTGGAATATTTTTTTCTCCTTGGCTGCTTTGTTTATTTTGTTTACTGACAATTTTTCTTACCAAGTGTAGCTGTCTGGAGGCAGCAAGAAGTAATGTAGTGCAATGAAACTTATAAGCAGGGATGCAGAATATTTTTCGGATCAAAATTTCTTGTGAACATACACAAAATTTTCCCAAAAATAATTGCACACAAAATAAAACCATAATTTATGAACCAATTAACAGTTATTACTACATAGTTTGACAATTTCAAATTAAATCTACAAGTAATTAAATAGTTCTACCATAAAACACTAAACTGATATGTTAACCTAAAAATATTTTAGATTAAAAGAATACTGTAATGTACATAAATTTATTTTTGAAGACAATTGACATAATTATTATGAAAATAATCAGATGTTGAAAATTATATTCTAATGCATTTACTAAAAAGATACAAAAACTGGAACAGTAAATACAGTGAAAGAAGAAACCATATATACTAAATTCCAGCAATATTTTAATTTGAAAAACAAAGATTTTTGGCTCTCTTGATGACCTGCTTCTGGTTAAATCAAATTTGTGTTTTAAAATATCAATATGTTTTATAAACCAAGTATTAATTTGTAAAACACCATGTGTAAAACCTGAAGCAGGCCTTATCAAGAGGGCCAAAAACATTTGCTTTTCAAGTTAAATATTGGGGGGTTTCATTGTCTGTAACGCACTGCGTACCAAAAAAATGGGGTTACACAATGTTAGGGTTAAAGTACCATGCCTGGACTTTTATGAGAGCCAAAAGCAATAATAATAATAATTCAACAAACACGTATAAGTAACAGTTCATGATGAAAATTTTTATTAAATTGAATAATAAGAAAAAAAAAACAATAATTGATTAATTGTACCAATAGGGTTAGTATATTTGTCAAATATTCAAATAGTCAAGTAACAAAAACAAAGAATAAACAATCAAAGAAAGTCTTATTTCATATAATAACAAATCCAAAAATCCAATCTCCACCTCAAAAAGAAATACTCAAACAAAGTATATGTTTCTTATGCTAATCACTTCTCAAAGATGTGTCTACAATGGTTGTCACCAGGAGCTACATCATATGGCTGTATTGGATGTGCCATCTTTTATCTAATGATCAGTGCAGCTCTGCACTGCCTTAATTTACATTATTTTGTGTCATGGGATCATTCGCTGATGCAAAATTAATATCACAGCTTTTTTGACTATTTTTGCACAAAGAGGGTTTAGGAGTGTGCCCTTTAAAAAAATCCTGAAAAGAAAATAACTAACTAAAAATAATGCCCAAAAACATAAAATAACGAATGGACTGACTTCTTACACATCTAATGCACATCTATAGCTAATCAGAGGAATCTTAAGATATTTATCTATATGTGAGATCTGCAGATCGGAGAAGGTTAATTTTTATAAAATATTGAAAAATATTACATTTAGATACATCCTTTTTTTTTTTGTAAATAATTATTTAACATTAGTTATTTTGAAAGAGGGAGGAAATAAACTTCCTTTCACATAACCCTTATCTTGAAAGTTAGACAATCATCTGCATGTTTACCCCCATCATTCCTTCTCAAACATCCTGTTGGTGTTCATATTTTGATTGGTTGAGTAACATTTAATATATCAAAGCACATCCTGAGATCGGGGAGTTCTCCATCAGATCCACATAGAGATGGGTCTACAGTGTCCTCCACATAGAAGACAGAGGAGTTCAACTATAGCCACCCAAGAGGAAAGTTGTCTCCATAGTCCGGAGTTTGTCACATCATCTCAAACAGAGAAGACACACTCCAGGAGTTCCTCCAAATTCTTCACTGTATAGAGCTCTCCCTTCCTTCGACTGGACTTCCAAAGAAAGTTGAATTCAATCCCAGATTTCCAAAGCTAATGCCACTGAACTACATAGAGAACTCAGAATGTTGCTGTCTACGATGATAATCTTCAAGAAACATATGAATACTTCTCGTATTTGACGAGGTAGTATGACATTAGACTCACTGTAAACTCTCTCTCTCAAGTTAGGAGTTTTCTTATCTTGTAATTTTTTTTATTTGTTTTATTAAATATTATTTTTGTTATATTTTAATATGCTCTCATCTTTGACTCAAATCTGAGCCTACCTCCACTCCACTTACTCATGACCCTCCCGCTCGAAATTCTTCTCAAAATTGTACAAGCATACCTAATGCTATATCTAGGCTAGTGTCAGGAAAAACAAACTTGCAGGGGTTTCTCAAGAACTTCTGTTCTTCATTTTTAGTCTTAGGAAGCCATCCTTTGACACTGCAGGCCAATCTAACTGATTGAGTGTCGATTAAGTGACATAGAGTTCATTTTAAGAGTGCTCTATATCCCCAGTACCTCAGATATGTTTGTTTACAAAATGTAGATTTTATTATTGAAAAGGATTATTTAAAGAAAATTAAAATTTTCATAACACTAAGCATTTGATGATTTAATTATTATAATTGATAAAAGAAAATAGTTATGCATTGTCAGATTTAAATGGTTTTAGATAATTCAGCTGTACCAGTTTAACAAATCCTAACAGATATATTAGATTTAATTCTCAAACTGTTATATTTTATCTTTAGTTATCTTCCAGAATACTAATTTTAATACAAGTTCTAGAAATTTAAATTTGTGAATTGAAGAATATCTACAAAATAAAGTTTTGAGAATGAGACCTAATAAATCTCAAACATCAGTCTATTATAGTGGTTTTCAACCTTTCTGAGGCTATGGGACACCGTTTATATACTTTTATTAAGCAGATCATTAGCATCAATATATTCAATAATCAATTCCATGTTTATTATTCTCATGAAAAATGAAGCAGTAAAGCAATACTTTATTGTCTGAATAAAATAGAAACAAGGTATTATCTTTGAATAAAGTCATACATTATAGTATTAGAATAAATTTGCAATAAAAACTAAAATCTTTTTTTTTCTGGAACACTCAAGGAAGTTTGCAGAACACTGATTAAGAACTGACATCTGATAACTGTTAGATTAGATAATTTGAAACATGAAATCAATGATGCCAAGGTTGATAAATTTATTTACAATTTATTTTAAAAATTTGTATTTTTATGTTCTGTAGAAAAGATGTTATAATAAATTTAAAAGGAAAATTTTCTTATAAATTTATTATAACATCATATTATATATTTTTATACCTATTATAAGATATGATTTATGTATAGATTTTTCAGCTACACATTTTAATTATAAAATAAATATATATATTTCATAATATGAAATTTTGCTTTAGTTAGATATTCTTGGATTCTGTCTTTAATGTTAGAATGAATTGATTAAAAGTCTCTTTAAAATTTAAAGTTACCTTGTTTAGTACTAAAATATGTTGCAAAATGATAAGTGTAGCGATTTTTTGAAATATATTTATTGTGCATTTTGTGAGACTGTTATTATATAAAATGTTAGTTTTAAATTAGTAATAGCTGAATATCCTTGTTATTGCTATTATTAAAAAAGGGTCCTAGGAATCAATATAGTTTTAAACTATAAATGTTTGATTTTTTATTTAGGTTGTAAAGTTTTAGTCTTACCAAATGGATCAGTACCATGTAATAAGCATGTTGTTGAAATTGTCGATATTGTAAAACCCAAGATTAAGCAATTAGTAGAAGATTCAAATATGGTAAAGTATTTTTAAAATATTATGTCAAATGTAAAAAATATATACCTTTTTATAATTTTTGTTTTTGAAAGAAAGCAAACTTTTTAATGTTATTTTTACGAATTGTTCAATATTATTTTTATCTTAAACATTTTTGAATATTTAGTTTTACTTTCAAAAGGTAACTTAAATAATTTAACAAACACAATAATTAAGTTTCTCATATATCATGCCTAATTTATAATCTAAAACATTTTATAAATATTAGAAACAAAGTAATGGAATATATAAGTTCCAAAGAATAAAAGACTGAATATGAATTTTCTTAATAACCAAAAAATAATGTTTAATATAGTTTCACTTTTGTATATAAACATGTTCTATAGCAGGGGTGTCCAACCTTTCTGTTTCTCTGGGCCACATTGGAAGAAGTCATGGAGTTTTGGGCCACAAGTATATTTTGACCCAATCCTTAAATATACAAGTACATATAAGTATTAACATGTCTAGATTATAGTAATAAGTATTAAAAGTTTACCACAAAAAAGAATATTTTTAAAAATTACTTTTACACTTTCAATTTTTACTTAGAAATAGATGAATTAATTTATTATAAAGGAGACAAACAAAAATTTATTTGAAAAACACAAATATTTGTTTTATTTGGGTCTCTAATTAATAAAAAGCGACAAAACACCATTTTAAAGTGCATTTTTATTCAACTAATATATTTATAAATAATATGTAGCCCAAAAATTAGCCAATGTGCCAACTGATATTTTTTACATCAAACTAATAAAAGGGTAGCCAAATTTTGCAATGCTGGAAGGAATACTATATAAAGCTGGAGTTGAGACTCAAAGAATTATAGACTCAAATGCGGGGAAAGGAGAAAGAAGACAAAAGATAAAGAAGTGAGGAAGGTTGGAAAATTAAGGGTCCATATTGCATACAGGAGGTCTATTTAACCTTTCTCATTACTTTTTATCTTTAGGTCTTTTTCTCCTTTCCCCTGAATTTGAGTCTATACTCCTTTCAGAACCAACTCCAGCTTTATTTAGTATATCTTCCTCATTCACACATTTCTAAGTATTTGAAAATATTTCTTTTTCACTAAAAATTAAAATATGTATTAAGGTTTCTTAGAAAAGTGACAGTAATTT